GCCTACCTAAAGGAAAAGTGCATTGCTGAGCATCCCTGTGCCTTGCAAAGGTGGTAAACAGTATGAGGTGTGTGTGTGTGTGAGGAAAGTGAAACTCCTAGGTCCTTTCGCTCACTGTGTCCTTTTTTTTTGTTGTTGTTACCTTCACAGCCTTGAGGAGCAGTCTCTCTCCCAAAAGGCCCTTGAAGGACACACCATAGCTGCAGGAACTCACTGAATGAGGACAGCACAGCTGAAGTGAGGCATCCAAGCCAGACAATGGCTGTGGCCCTGGATTCTGAGGCCCAAGCCTCTCCCCCTGCAGAGTCTGAGGACCTCCTGATTGTGAAACTGGAAGAGGATTCATGGGGATCAGAACCCAAACCCCAGAAGGACTGTGACCTTGTCCCTGGTCCTGAGGCTTCCCGCCAGCGCTTTAGGCAGTTCCAGTACAGGGATGCGGCTGGACCACATGAGGCCTTCAGCCAGCTCTGGGCTCTCTGTTGTCATTGGCTGAGGCCAGAGATCCGCCTCAAAGAGCAGATCCTAGAGCTGCTGGTGCTGGAGCAGTTCCTGACCATCTTACCCCAGGAGGTGCAGAGCTGGGTACAGGCGCGCCATCCTGAGAGTGGGGAGGAGGCAGTGGCCCTGGTAGAGGATTGGCACCGAGAAGTCCAAACTGCCCAGCAGCGGGTGAGGCACATAGTCTGTTCTCCAAAGAAACCTCAGCCAAGGCAGGAGAGCTGTCATTAGGTTAATAAACGCCCAAAATCACAGTAAGAATAATAATAATTATTGAGCAACTGACATTTTCTGAACTCTACTATATAGCAGGTACTGTTATAATTTCTTTTCACGTATTAACTCATCTTGTAAACAATTTAATGAGATAGATACTATTATCTTCATTTTGCCAGTAAAGAAACAGTGGCAGAGTAGAAAGGTAATTTGTTCAAGGTTCCACAACTGCTAGATGGAAGAGCCAGGATTTGAACTCTGACAATCTGAACTCTAGCCACTTGCTTAACTACTGCTCCAAAGTGCCTCTCAGTACCATACAGAGCAGTATGGTTAATCTGTGTTTTATGTGTAACACAATCTTTTTATGTACATGACCTTTTTGGAGAGTTACAGCAGTAATGTAAGTTGATAGAAATAGTATTTTCCCCATTTTTGAGATTAAGGCTCCAAAAGTCAGAGGACTCAAAAATGTCACTCAGTGAGCAAACCAGAGCCTGACTCTTAGGTTTCAGAGTCATTGTTCTTTCCACTTCAGACAGGTGTGTTACCTGCCATCGATGGGAAGGAAAATACCTGAGTTGTGAGGCCCAAATGAGGTATTAACTGACATTTTTTTGAGCACTCATGTGTTGGACACTATTATAAACTTTTTATGTGTATCTCTCATCTAATAAGCCCAGCAATCCAGGTAGGTACTATTATTATTGCCCTTTCTCAAGTGAGTTAACAAAGAGGTAAGTAACTTGTCTAAATTTATGTAGGTGCTAGAGCTGAGAAAAGGGGATTGAACGTATTATATTTAGCATTTGCAATTTCAACAATTTACAAGCAGCCCTGAAGGCCTATGATGTAATATGTAGTTTTGCTATGACAGATTTTGGATCCCAGCGTATGTAGAACAGGGTCTTTTAGCTGGCTGTGGATTGAGCCAGCCATCTATAAACCTCACCTTAACATAACCCTTTGCTCTGTACTTGTGACAGTCCAAAATTCTTGTGATACTATATTAACCACATTTTGTTGAGGGAAATGTTAGGTTGGAGAATATATCCTTCAAAATGTTAGGGGTTTTCTGCACATGTGAAATGGAAAGCTCTATACAGATGTGAGATTGGGGCAAGGAAGGGTTAAGGTCTATGGCTTTCCCTTTTGGATTCCTTTACAAATTGATGGGACATACAAAGAGTAATATTTAGAGAACTAAGTATGGGAGCATGTGCCTTATTTTAATATACCTCCTCATTCCCCCACGTTGCTGCTTTAAAGAGACAAGGCATTTGTCTTAAGTGTCAGTGAGGAGACACATAGAAGTCTTAGGATGACCAGAGATCAGAATTGACTTAATTCAAGGTCTTTTTGATTCTTCCTCTGTAAGGGTGAGAGAGTTGGACTAGTCCAAAAGTTCTCAAATTATGCCCCCTGACCTGACCAAATGATGAACTGCTTATAAATTGAGAAAAGAAATTATGGAGTCTGCTTTACTATAAATTTTTTTTGTGTGACTCTCATTTTTGTTTTTTAAATTTTCTGCCTGTTTTTGAGTACTCACAAATTTTAAAACAAGTGGATAAATAGCATATCTCAAGCACATGTCTTGTAGCTGGTGACCTTATGTTATGAGGCATATGACTTAGGTGTATTTTCTTTTTCTTTTTTTTTTGGTTTTTCTCCGGTACCGGGAACCGAACTCACGACCTTGCGCTTGCCAGGCAGGCGCTTTGCCGCTGAGCTAAATCCCCAGCCCCAACTTAGGTATATTTTCTGTAGATAAAAATTTTCCAAGTCTTTATAAGGGGATGAAATATATTTTATGTTCCTCAAAGTTAACTATCAACTGAAAAGAGAATATTGCCAAGATATCCTAAAAGGTATCTTCCAGCTCTGCTTTATTATCTTTAGCTCATTTCATTTGTTATCGCCATTTTACAGAATGACATCAGAGGCACAGGTACCTTTCAAAACTAGACTATTTTAGAGCAGTATTAGGTTCATGGCAAAATTGGCCCTTCTTTCTTCTCTCCCTCTATCAACATCTCCTGCCAGACCTGTACATTTGCTACCATCGAGGCACCAATATCAACACATCATTATTATCCAAAGTCTATAGTTTACCTTAGGGTTCACTCTTGGTGTTGTACATCCTCTTGAGTTTTAACAAATATACATGTATGATGTGTATCCATGGTAGTAGTATCATACAGTATACTTTCACTACCCTAAAAATCCTCTATGCTCTACCTATTTATTCATCTTTCCCCCCAACCCTTAGGAACCACAAATATTTTTACTGTATCCATAGTGTTCCCTTTTCCAGAATGTTATATAGTTGGAATCATATAGTATGTAGCCTTTGTAGATTGGTTCCTTTCACTTAATCATATACATTTAACTTTTCTCCATGTCTTCTTATTGCTTCATAGCTCATTTCCTCTTAATGCTGAATAACAGGCCATGGTTTGGATATACTTTACTTTATTTATCCACTCACCTACTGAAGGTCATCTTTGTCATATCTCAGTTTTGGTAGTTATTTATAAAGGTGCTTATAAATGTCCAAATGCAGATTTTTGTGTAGGCACAGTTTTCATTTCATTTTGGTAAATACCAAGGAGCTTGATTGCTGGATCATATCATAAGAGTACATTTTAATTTGGTAAGAAACAGCCAAATTGTCTTCTAAAGGGGCTGTATTGTTTTGCATTTCTACCTACAGTGAATGAGAGTTTGTTGCTTCACATCCTTACTAGTATTTGGTGTTGTGAGTGTTTGCATTTTGACCATTGTAATAGTGGTATAGTGGCTTTTCTTCGTTTTAATTTGCGATGATTGATGATAAGATATTAAACATCTTTTTCATATTCTTCTTTACCACCTGTAGCTCTTTTGTGAGATATCTGTTTAAGTCTTTACCCATATGTTAATTGGGTTGTTCTCCTATTGTAGTTTTAAGAGTTCTTTGTATATTTTGTGTGACAGTCCTTTATCAGGTGTGACTTTTGCAAAGTTTTTCTCTCAGTCAATAATATCAATTGTTTCTTTCATAGATATTGCCCTTGGTGTTATGTCTAAAAAGTCACCCCCATACTTAAGGTCATCTAGGTTTGTCTCTTGTTTTATCTTTAGGAGGTTTGCATTTAAATTTAGGTCTCTGGTGCATTTTGAATTAATTTGTGGGAAGGGTGTAGAGTCTGCCTAGACTGATTTTTTTTTTTTTTTTGCATGTGGAGGTCCAGTTCTAGCATCAGTTGTTGAAACAGTATTACTGTTGCTACACCTTATTGCCTTTTTTCCATTGTCAAAGTTCAGTTGACTGTACTTATTTCTGTTTTGAGTCTTCTGATTCTTTCCATTGATCTTTTTATTCTTGTGCCAGTACTATACTTTCTTGATTATCATGGCTTTATAATAAGTCTTGTAGTCAGATAGTGTCAGTTCTTGAAATTTGCTCTTCTCCTTCAGTATCTATTTGCTATTGTGGGTCTTTTGGCTCTCCATATCCACAGAATAACTTGTTGTGGTTTTAATTGGGACTGCATTAAATCTATGGATCAAATTGGGAAGAACTGACATCTTGACAGTAGTGAGTTATCCTATATCTGTTTTTTAAATTCTTAATATCTTTCATCAGAGTTTAGAGTTTTCCTTCTGTAAATTGGTAAATATTTTGCCAGAATTACACCTAACTACTTCTTTTTTAGATAAAATTGTAAGTGGTATTTGCTTTTAATATCAAATTCTACTTGATTAATGCAGGTATGTATATAGGAAAGTAATTCACTTTTGAGTATTAATTTTGCATCCTGAAACCTGTGTCATGTATTGTTTCTAGCAGTGTTTCTCTCCCCAGTTCTTTTGGATTTTCTACATAGATGAACATGTCATATGCAAACAAAGTCAGTTTTATTTCTTCCTTTCAATATGCAAACCTTTTATTGTCTTGTCCTATTATATTAGTTACAACTTTCATAAGAAAATGAACAATAGTGAAAAAGGATATCCTTTTTTCCTGACCTTAGTGCAAAAGTTTGAGTTTCTCACCATTAAGTAGGATGTTAGATATGGGTTTATCATAGATGTTCTTAGTCAAGTTAAAGAAGCTCCTCTCTAGTCCTAGTTTGCTGATGACTTTTATTATTAATAACTGTTGGATTTTTAAAAAATGATTTTTTTTTTTTTGGTTTTTCTCCGGTACCGGGAACCGAACTCACGACCTTGCGCTTGCCAGGCAGGCGCTTTGCCGCTGAGCTAAATCCCCAGCCCTAAAAAATGATTTTTCTGCATTTATTGAGGTAATCATTTGATTTTCTGAGGTGAAGGATTACATTAACTAATTTTCAAATGTTAGACCAGTCTCGCATACTTGGGATAACTTCCACTTGGTTGTGGAAGTTATATAATCCTTTTATATATTATTAGATTTGATTTACTAATATTTGTTGAAGAGTTTTTCATCTATGTTGGTCTAATAGTATTGTTGTATTGTCTTTATCTGATTTTGTTCTTAGAGTAATGCTGATCCTACAAATGAGTAAGGAAATAGTCTTTCCCCTTTGGTCTTTTAGAAGAGGCTGCAGAGAATTGGTATAATTTCTTCCCTTGGTAGAATTCACCAGTGAACCTGAGAGCCTCATGTTTTCTGTTTTGGAAGGTTACTAATTATTGATTCAATCTTTTAAAGTAAATATAGGCCTGTTCAGATTATGTGTTTCTTCTTGTGTGAGTTTTGGTAGGGTATGACTTTCAAGGAATTGGTCCTTTTCATCCAGATTATCAAATGTGTGAGTGAGTATTGGGTTATTTATAATATTCCTTTAATATCATTTTAATGTCCTTTGGATCTGTGGTGATGTACTCTTATTTCTGATATTAGTGATTTGTGATTTTCTTAGTCTAATTAGACACTGGCACAGCTTTTGCTGTATCCCACATCTTTCATAAATTGTATTTTCATTTTCATTTAGTTCAAAATATGTAAAAATTTTTCTTGAAGTTTCTTCTTTGATCCATGCATTATTTAGATAGATGTTATTTAGTCTTTTAAGTATTTGGGGATTTTCCAGCTATGTATTTTTCTGTTACTGATTTATAGTTTAATTCCACTATGGTCTGAGAGCAGATATTGTATGATTCTATTATTTTAAATCTGTTAAGGTGTATTTTATGGCTCAGAACATTGTATGGCAAATAATGCTTTGTGTGAGCTTGAGAAAAATGTGTATTTTGTTGTCGGATGAAGTACTTCATATATGTTAATTATATCTCTTCTATTTTACCTGATTCATATGTCTAATTCCCCTCATAGTTTGTTTGTTTATTTATTGAGACAGTATCTCACTTTGTAATTCAGGCTGGTCTTTAACTCAGTATGTAGCCTCAGCTGGCTTGAATTAAAGCAGTCCTCTGCCTCAGTGTCCCAAGTGCTGTGATTACAGCTATACGCCACTGTCCAGCATCCTAATATGTTTGGTTCAACTGTGTCTTTGCTAAATTTCTGCCTGCTAATATTTCCATTTCTAATAGAGGGATGTAAAAGTTTCATATTATAATAGCGACTTAATTTTTTTCTCTTTACAATTGTGTCAGTTTTTGCCTATGTGTAATATTTTAATGCTGTGTTGTTAGGAGTATTAAAAATTAAGTGCATGTATAACCCTTATGTGTATTAAGGATTGTTATGTATTGGAGTATTGACCTCTGCATTATTTTATAATGCCACTTTTAATTAATTAATTAATTAACTTACTTAAACAACAGAAATTTATTTTCACACGGTTCTGGAGGCTGGAAGTCCCAGATCAGTGTGCCAGCTGATTTGGTTTCTTCTGGCCTGTCTCCTTGTCCTGGCAGATGGTAACCTTCTTGGTACATCTTTTTATATGGCGAAAGCCATATAATATAATATAATCTATGTGCCATTAATGCCACTTTTAATCCTTGATAACTTTTCTTCTTCTGAAGTCTGCTATGTCCGAAATTTATATAGTTTCACTTGCTTTCTTTTGATTAGTGTTAGCTTGGTATGTTTTTTCCCTTTACTGTTTATTTGTGTGTCTTCCCCCTCCCCAGTGACTGACTGGATCTCCTGGACCTTTTAACTCTCAGGATTGTCCACACTGAACCTTTTGCAGTTCATCAATTATGGTTTAGTTTTTCTGATTCTGGCCCTAGTTCCCACAGGTTTGTGTTTTGGTCAGTTGTAGTCCTCTGAATCTACCTGTCTTAATTTCTCCTGTTTTGAGGGCAGCAATGTACTTTGTGATCTCATTTGATGGATTCAAGAATTGTTGACTTTGTGATCTCATTTGATGAGATACTTTGTGATCTCATTTGATGGATTCAAGAATTGTTGACTTAGTTTGTCCAGAGTATTACCTATTAAGATGAAGTGGTACTGCTAAGATATTTGCTGAACTGGAAATAAGAAGTCTGTTCTACTGATTTTCTACCTCCTCATTATTACTTGAATGTGCTTTTTTCTGTGTCTACACTTACTATTCATATAATCAGAATCTTTGTTTAGGAATGGAATAGTTGGAGGAGCTGGGCTGAAACTAAAGATTGTTTTTGAGTCTAGTCACTTTGGTCCTCTATAGATTATAAGTACTTGAAAGCCAAACAACCTATTGTTCATACTTATGAGTATTTTTTTGTCATGGAAATTTTACATAATTTATCTCTTTTTGAATTGAAAATGTTCCAGTTGGTGGCAGCCTTTTTGAAACACTTTATGGTCTCCCAGCATTGAGTAGGACAGTCCTCATCTGTTATAAATGCTAGTCTGTTTACTGAAGTCCGTCTGATGGCTTCCTCATCACGCTAGAAGCCCTTTACAAGCTTGTTAAGCCCTGGGCCACAATCTTACTCAAAGTAACATTCCTTGCCCTACTGAAGTGGCCTTATTGAGCTGTTGATTGGGAATTTTGACCATCTGTGTGCAGGAACTAAAGTGGGGTGCAGAAGAAACCACCAAATCGTTAAAGGCAGCACAAGAATCTCAGTGCTTCCAGTTGCAGCCAGCAGGTTACAGGCCTGAGGGACAGTCTCAGAAGCAACGAGTGAAGAATTCATGCTCTGACCTCCCTGAGCATCTAAATGCCAAGATGGCATCACATCTCTTAAAAGAGAGTGGTGAGTACCAAGAATCTGGGAAAACTAGGGAATGAAGCCTTTCTTCCAAGGGAGAGGACTGAGAAGTAAGGAAGGGTACATGGGGAGAAGGATATGGAAAGTTCAAGGCAAAGCACAGGATAGTGTCTGATGGATACACTTACTGACAAGTAGGATACAAATACATTGTAAAGGGGAGGAAGTTCCCAGCAATGCCAGCTGGAGCAGCATATGCAGCAGATTGAGGCTGGGACTAAGGTGGGAAGTGATCACAGGGATTCAGAACAGGTATCTCACATATGTCACCCAAGCCGGGTGTAGGAGCTCCATTCCCTAAACGTAAAGTTATTATTGAATCTGCTCATTCATTTCTTCTGTAGATTATAACTACTTAAAAGATAAACAACCTATATTTTATGTTTTTGTTTAATGTCATAAGACTTTTACCTAATTTATCTCTTTATGAATCAAACGTGTTTTGAACAGTGGCAGTCTTGAAACACTTGTGTAGTGTCTTAGTATTCCCTAGAAGGGAAATAAAGGGGAAATCTGCCTCAGACTGTTCCAAGTGTGACTTTTGGGAAAGTGGACCTAACAGAGAGGTGGTTTTTGAGAACTGGAGCTTGGGTTTCAGAGACCTTTTCTTTTTCTCAGCTGTCCTTACTCCTCGAGTCCCTACTCTTCCAAAGATGGGTAGTGTTGGAGATTGGGAGGTGACAGCTGAGTCCCAGGTAAGCTGCTATTTGTTTTTCTCTTCTTGCTCTCACTACTACTCTACTGTTGCCCTCCAGGGCTCTTCCTCACTCCATGGCATCCCCACAGCAGAAGGGCAAAGGCATAGAGTGTTACCTTTGCTCTACCCCGAGTCTGCTGGGCCCCTCCTTGGTTATGCTGCTGCTTGTGATGCTAACCCCTCTTGTACTCCTACATTCCCCTGATTTTTCTGGGGCCTATAGCGTTCCCAGGTTGTTTTCAAAGACAGTGATGTTTGAGAGCCTTCTCTTGTGTATGTCATAGGAAGCCCCGGGCCCTAGCAAACATGATGAGAAGGAATTCTGCAAGGACCCTGCAAGAGATGACTGTGGGAGCGGCATACGTCTGGGTAAGGAAAACATGCCCTTCCCTAGAGCAGAAGACATTCAGTTTTTGTGGTTCCCAGGGAGTGGTATGCCACTCCCTTAAGAATCATAGCTGTACATTCTCTGGAATTTCAGAGATAGGAAAAGACTAGCTTTTTATAGCCAGCACAGTTAGAGCAGGGAGAGAGTTGGTCCAGGCTGAGGGTAGCAGGACGGCTTCCCAGAGCTTGCCCCATCAGGGCTTATCACCTTTACCACCTCAGGATAGTCATTAGGACCAGGAGCTGGGCCCAGCCTACTTACTGCCTCAGAAATCAGATCTCTTCCACACTAAATGAGATCTGCCTTTCAGCGGCAACTCAAGTGAACTAAGCCCACAAGAACAACCTATAAAACCAGAAAGAAAAATAAATATCACAGGCCTCAAAATACTTGAGCCTATTGAATCATTACAGACTCTGTTTTTTCTGTGGGCATACCTACATGGGAAGCCAAACTAATAAGCCATTTCCCCAGGGAGCCAGACTAATAAGCCATTTCCTGTACTTCACTGTGTGGGAAGTTAGGCACAAGGATGGGGTAAAATAGAAGTGACTGGGCAGTTCTAAGGTACAGTCAGGTTAGATACTAGAAGATTGTTGGCTACTTGCTTGACAGTGTAATCATTTTTTGACACATGCTGCTGGGTTGGGGCTGTGTAGTGTTTAAAGGAGCAGACTTGGAAATGCTAACTTAGCATCAGGAAAGATTCTAGGGCAATGGTGGTCACAAATACTCTAAGATACACTCGTGTTCCCCTCCATCCCCAACAATGGAATTCAGTCTGTTTGGGCCAATTTAGATCATGTGTCTGTCTGTGAACCAATAATAGCTACTATTTCCTATGATATATTTCATAACAATAAAAAAAGCAAATGAGCAAAGCAAATAGGTCACTTCCTGTTTCTGGTGAGGATTATGTGATGTCTAGTTACCTTGCCCTAACCTTCCAGACATTTTAATGGAGTAACATGAGAATCTCTCATCACCCTCTTGCAGGGAGAGGATGTAAGTTTCAGGGACAGTTTGGACAAACCTGCTGCTCAGTAGATCATTTCTACTCAGTCGTTTTTTTTTTTTTTTTTTTTTTTTTGTATAGCAGTTCCAGTTTTGAAACCAAGTGTCACTTCCCAGCTAGAGCAAGGACCAGAATTCTGGGATATAAACTTTATAAATTCTGTGAAAAGGAGCACTGCTGATTACAGACTGGATAATGAACCAACAAAACCAGCTCAGGCATTGGCCTTAAAGGACTGTAGAGCCTGGGAAGAACAATACCAATGGGATGTGGAGGACATGAAGGTGTCAGGTGTTCACTGGGGCTATGAGGAGACAAAGACTTTCCTGGCAATCTTGAGCGAGTCTTCTTTCTCTGAAAAACTTCGGACTTGTCACCAGAACCGCCAGGTGTACCGGGCTATTGCTGAGCGGTTAAGGGCACGCGGCTTTCTGCGGACACTGGAGCAGTGTCGCTACAGGGTCAAAAACCTCCTACGGAATTACCGGAAAGCCAAGAGCAGCCACCCACCAGGGACATGCCCCTTTTATGAGGAGCTGGAGGCCCTGGTGAGGGCTCGGACAGCCATGAGAGCCACAGGTGTCTCAGGAGAGGCTGTGACACTCCCCAGGCTGGGGGATAGTGATGCTGAGATGGATGAGCAGGAGGAAGGGGGCTGGGAGCCTGAGGAAACAACAGATGACTATAATAGTGCTGGCCTGGCTACTAATGAGTCTTCGCAGGGGCCCAGGATTGCAGGTGGCCCAGCACTGCTCCAGAATCGTATTGGTAAGAATGTGGGGGTTTAACCAGGTGCAGATTCCAGTCCTACCAGGCAGGCTGCTGGTCCCTGAATTGATGCCACTAGAGTAAAGTGTTAAGTTCCATAGGTGATCTTTGAACTCTTGTCTTCTTTGTGACTGGGTCTCCTTGCTCAAGTTTTCTTACTTATAAAAACAAATATTTCTAAAGCCTTCAGGGACCTTTGAGGATGATCATAGATATCACATGAATGAACTTCTAATGCTTATGATTAGGTGTTTTTCTTAATGTGTCCAAGCACATCAGCCTGACTTCACAGATAGCAAATTTGGATAAAGAAAGACAGTGAGTAAAATATTGAACAGATAGAGCAGAAAACATGGCAGTGTAGACTTGGACAGTCGGTATGTGGCAAACACTTGGTCATTGTAAGGTAGACTCTCTGGAGCCCAAGAAATGACACATCTTGTTTAAAAGTTTGTAGGTGGGAGCAGAATCCATGACTCATGCCTGCCAGTTTCATGTGGTTTTCCTGCTCCGTGTTGCCTCCCTGGGTGGTATCCCTTACCTGCAGAAGAACCCTGCAGAAGAACTGAGACTAGGTTGTCTCCTATTCATTCGTCTGTAAGTGGAAAGGGCATCCTTAGACTCTGATTACTTGAAATCAGAGTCCAATCCTTGGACTCTGATTACTTGAAATCCATTCATATCTTTGGTCTTTAGGGATTTTTGAGCTTCCATGGTTTGTTAAAGAAGAATTAATAAAGAAGATAGAGGATATGTATTGCTTGGATATAGGGAAATCTCATTGATCCCAATTACTAGACAGCTCAAGCTAAGGCACTTGGGTCACCTCGTAGAACTGATAAGTTTGGCCATGTAAGTCTTCCCCTTCAGCAAGACTTAAAGTGTTGGTAAAATTTCTTAGAAGGGGTGGGGCAGATGCTCTGGCTGGCTTTTCTAGTCCATCTTTGAGAAGAAAAGGTATGTTCCTAGGCACTTGGGCAGTTTCTGTGGTGTTCTGTGGTGCCTGTGTTCTAGGTGTTTAGAAGGATAGATGACCCTCATCTCTGATGACCTAGGCAAATCTCAAGTCTTACACCTCTGAACTCTTTACTCCTGACAGCAGGTGTGCACTGGGGCTACGAGGAGACCAAGGCTTTCCTGGCAATTCTCAGTGAGTCCCCCTTCTCTGAAAAGCTTCGTACCTGTCACCAGAATAGCCAGGTATATCGGGCCATTGCAGAGCGGCTGTGTGCACTGGGTTTCATGCGGACACTGGAGCAATGTCGCTACAGATTCAAAAACCTTCTTCGAAGCTACCGGAAAGCCAAGAGCAGCCACCCACCGGGAACATGCCCCTTCTATGAGGAGCTGGACTCACTCATGAGGGCTCGGACTGCGGTCAGAGCCATGGAGACTGTCAGGGAGGCAATAGGTCTTCCTAGGTCTGGGCAGAACAGCACTGAGGCAGATGACCAGGAAGCCTGGAGTGAGATGGCAGATGAAGATGCCATCAAACCTCCAACCCCATGTCCTAAAACTCCAGATACTGGTAAGCCTGGAGTCACAAGATGTCTACAAAATCAATAGGCTTGTAAAAATGTGGGGAGCCAGGCTCAAGATGTTTTGACTCTGGGCTAAAAGAGAGAATGGGACTGAATAGGAAAAGGATTTGTGCTTTGCTGAGATTATTGTCTTTAGGTTTATGTGGTCCCCCACATGATAAGTCTAGCTTTTACTGGGAAACATCTAAGCTGTGAGGGAATTGATTCAATCTAGAAGGAAGGCAGTTATTGTTTAATACTGACTGGCTGGGGAGACTGATTGGCTCACTGATTGGGCTAGGCCTCATGGGTCCTTTGGGGGTCTGTGATGTTCTAGACTGTGTTCCTGAGTTGTTCAGGTTTAGAAATGTGTATATGCCTTGAAACTTGTATATGCCCCAAAACAGTTTTACATTAGTCACATTTATAAGATGTGGGAGTTAAGATACAGATTCATTTTGGCCACATTCATAAGACACAGATTCAGATGCATAAATAAATGCTAACTAATGAATGAACAAATTCTGAATTTCTGTCTATTCTTTTAGGTTTTGAGTTGAGGCATAAGGATGAAGACCAGATTTCAGAGCAGGAAACTTTTGGTGATTTACCTGGAGCCTTACCAAAATATACTACAGAGGCTGTTTACTCCCCTCATGACTGGGGAGAAGACAGTGAAAATGAAAATGAAGGTGAAGGGATATGGGGTAATCCTCCACAAAAACAGTGGGAAGAGTGTTCTTCTGAGGAGGATTTAGAAAAACTTATTGATCATCAAGGCCTGTACCTTGCAGAGAAACCCTACAAGTGTGATACATGTGTGAAAAGCTTCAGTAGGAACTCACACTTCATTGCCCACCAGCGGATCCACACAGGTGAGAAGCCTTATGCATGCCTTGAATGTGGAAAAAGCTTTAGTGACCTCTCTAACCTCAGTACGCATCAGAGAATCCACACTGGAGAGAAGCCCTACAGATGCCTTGAATGTGGAAAAAGATTTAGTGATCACTCTAATCTCATCACCCACCAGAGAATCCACATGGGGGAAAAGCCCTATAAATGTGGGGAATGTTGGAAAAGCTTCAACCAGAGCTCAAACCTTGTAAAACATCAGCAAGTCCACTTGGGAGGAAGTCCTGACCATTGTAGTGAAACTGGAGAGAGCATTGATCAAAGCCCATCTGTTAGTGCTCACTGGAGGGATTCCACAGAGGAGACAGTTGAGCCATTTTGTAGTGCTGGGACGAACTTGAACTCTCCTGCACCTCACAGCACCAAATTGGAGGAGAAGCTGTATCGATGCTTGGAATGTGGAAGACGCTTCTCAAAGAGCTCCGCCCTCATTAGTCACCAAAGAATCCACACAGGAGAGAAACCTTATGAGTGTGCTGAATGTGGGAAAAGCTTCAGTAAGAGTTCCACTCTCTCCAACCACCAGCGAACCCACACCGGGGAAAAGCCATATAAGTGTGTGGACTGTGGGAAATGCTTCAGTGAGCGTTCCAAGCTCATCACCCACCAGAGAGTACACACAGGAGAGAAGCCCTACAGATGCCCAGAGTGTGGGAAGTTCTTCCGGGATCGTTCTAACCTCATCACTCACCAGAGGATTCACACAGGAGAGAAGCCCTATAAGTGCAGAGAGTGTGGGAAATGCTTTAACCAGAGCTCCAGTCTTATTATTCATCAGAGAATCCACACTGGGGAGAAACCCTATAAGTGCACAGAGTGTGGCAAAGACTTCAATAACAGCTCCCACTTCAGTGCCCATCGGAGAACCCATGCAGGTGGCAAAGCACTGTAGAAGAACCCCCTCAGCAGAGGAGTGATACATGTATATTTACATCTCCCAAGATCATAAGACCTAAACTAGCAAGAAATCTTTCAGTTTTTAAGCTTGGTGTGTAGCCAGAGAAGTTTTGGTAAAATCCAGGTAGTTTGAAAGTGAATTACAAATAATAAGGATCCAGATTTGATGGCACTTTGTTTCTCAAGTATAATTTGTTTTTTTCCTGTTAAAATCCCGCATATAATTCTCAGGCTATCCTTATATCTGCTGTTGCATAAGAGCTTTATCAGTATTTGAGCCAGACTGGTGACTTAGGGGATTAGAGTGAAATCAGTGGCCTGGAGCAGTGATTTCAGACCCTGCTGTGCCTTCACACTGCCAATGTGTGCAAAACCCCTCTCTGCCATCTCTCACACATTGCACTTTGCAGTCAGGGTTATGTCCTCACAGAACTTTGAGACTGGTGAAAGAGGGATATAACTGAAAGTCAGTGGCCAAGAGTAGCCCATCATGAACTTAGCAATGAGTAGGAACAACAGTGACATCATTACAAAATTATTACTAATAACAGCAAAAAGACTCAGTATTAATTGAGCATTTGCTTTTTGGCAGGCTATGTGGTAAGCACTTTATATGTATTATCTCATTTAATCCTGCTGACAGTCCCAGGACATAACTATCATTTTCCTACTCATTTCCCAGAAGAAAACTGAGGCTTGAGAAAGTTAAATTACTTGTATCAGCCACACATCTGAAAACGAGAGAGGCAGAATTCAGTCCGATCTCTGTGTTTCCAGGGTGAGAGATGCTTTCACTGTCCCAGTGAGTTCCTTTTTATGTTAGAACAAGTAACTCAGGTGCCAGGATCTTAAAAGTGTGTTATTTAATAAGTTATCCTTTTGTCAAATATGGAAGCCAAGAATCCCTAAAGGTGAAAGGACTTGGGATGTTCAGAATTGGTTGTAGTACTTTGAGTGAGGCTGAGTTATTATTATCAAAGTGTTGGATATGAGTTTCCCTTTTTGTAGTAATATGGCTGAGAGATGTAGGTGGGTTGAGTCTGGGGAAAATATATAGCCAAAGTTGTGGGTCTTCCAATAAATAGTGCTTTGGCTACAGAAGTGGGGTTTAAGAGTTTCTTTTCCAAAGGGTCATTCCTACTTCTCATTACACTTGGTTCCCCTCCAGTGCTTACTCATCCCTGTGTTTCGGCCTGTCTGGATCCTTCCCCTTATTCCTGATCCCAGTACCAAGATGAAGTAAAAGAAGTTGTTGTGTGGTCCTCCTGAGAGAGTTTTGAATACAATTCCACACTCCAGGCTCGTGACACCTTTTTATCCTGAACCCTCTTATCCCCAGGCTGACCCAGTGCTGCCCATTGAGACTGGCTTCACACATACAGGCCTCCAGGATTGCTTCTTAAGAGGGGTTTAGAAATGTTGGCCAGGGACTTTTGTTTTCATGGGATTTTAAAAGAAAATCCCTTTCCCAACACCCACCTATGACATTGGGATGACATTCATACTCTATATCATCGCTGTGGGTGGTACATAGCAGATAATGGAGGTGCTGGAACCTTGAAGATAGAGACTTTATAGTCACATGTGAGGGTGTAGGTAGAGTTTTGCTACTCCCATAGAATAAAGTCATTCCTTAATCCCTTCCCCTGCTCCAGAACTTCCTTCCCAAGAACCAGTGCAATTGAGGTCACTATCAACCTTGTTCCAGTTTACCTTTCCTGACTCACCTTATCTCTGAGGGGGTAGGGACCATCAGGTGAGTCCTGGATTGAAAGCAGCAGATGTCAGTGACTGTAATAAGATGGTACGTAGAGTACTGTGAGGGCCAAAAGGAAGGGTCCCAAAGGAGGGAAGGGAACCAGAGAAAAGTACTGTGTGTGAAATAGCATGGATTCAGGGGGAAGGTAGGAACCATAATAAGTTTCTTAGCATTTGGGGGGCATATAGTAGGGTTGAGTTTGAGATTGGATGGTGCCCAGGGTTGGGTCAGGTATGAGTGGAGCTTGGATATCATGCTCAGGGTGACATGTTCAGGTATGTACTGTGAAAATCTAACAGCTAGCTGGAACTTGGATGTCCTGCAGTTAGAACCACTGATGGACATTGTGTTGTTCCAGATAAAAGGCAAGGATTGAACTAGAACAGTGGCCACACTAAAGAGGAGGAAATGTAGTTGCAGTGTTTCAGAGTCAGACTATGGCAGAGAAAGCCTGGGGTGACTGAGTACAGTGTGTGTCATTCAGAATTGGGGACATAAGGAAGAAGCACAGATAGTGTAGGAGGTCAGAATATTGTAAGTTTACTTTGAAATATTTTGAATTTGAGACACCTGCTAGACATCTGCATTTATGTATCTGGGCCTGCAGTTGTGGGAGAGATTAGGCCTAGAGATTTATCTAGTCTATATGGTAGTTAGTGAGAAAGGGATAATGTTCAATGCTAAAGAAGTATCGGGCCTAGACAGAACGTGAGAAGCACCAAAATGGGAAGGAATATGCCCCTCAAAGGAAATCTGGGCCACTGCCCATGCTTACTCCTAACATCTTTTGGCTCCTGCCTCCCGTGTGTCTGATCCCTGAATTCTCAGAGTAGTCCTACATTTTTTGGAGCCTTCACTATGGAAGCCAACTTGAGCTAACTATGCAAGTGAGATATTAGCCCTCTCCCCACTGAATGTTACTGTTCCCCCTGTTCTTGTGACTGTGCTGGAATCTCCTATTTTTGGTGGGCAATTTAGATCCTTATTATCTATCACTCCTTTCTCCTCAAAAGTCTTAACTGCAGATTCAGCCATGAAACCAAGGGCAGCATAAAGCAGGAGCAAACTGGATACAAGTGTTCCCTTTCTCTCTGTCTACCAGACTTTTCCTTTGGGAGAAGCGTTCTCCTAGGTTGCTAGCCCCACCTTGCTGGGGCTCTTAGGCATCCTCCAGCTGGTCTTTGCTGCTCGAATAAACTGACATCTGATTTTACACATCCTTTTCTTGGAAAGTAGATTCATTCTGCAGAATGATGGATAGATCCTCAGGCCTTGTGGTCATGGGTCAAATCCTGGTTATGGAAAATGGAAGCAGCAAAGGCTGCCCTGGTGGGAGGTGGTGTTTTATGTGAGCTGTTAAATGTGGGATCATCTCCCCAGCAGCTGCATTTCCTTCAGTATCCTCCATCCTCTGTGGTGAACAAGAGGCCCTCACTTTGCACATACTCATCAGGAAGCAACAGACCCAAAGATAGAGGCAGGAAAGTGTACACCAAGGCTGCTTTAGATACTCAGTGTTTTCTTAAGGTTGGGCCCCAGTAGATGATGGCTGCAGCCTGACTGTTCCTCCATATTTCCTACCCCCAAACAGAGTAAGGCAACTAATCCCCACCTCCACCCACCATGCTGAAAATGAAGAGTCAGGTTTCCTTCCTCCCTGCCTCATTATGTTCTGGGCTCCAGTGGGGATAGCTCTGTGCCTATGGGCCAGAGAGAAGAGTTCATGTTTCATTACTTTGTGGAGAGGAAGGCCTCCCTTTGGAGTGGGGGTGCATCTGAAGTGATGAATGCAGTGATGGCCGGAGTGGAAGTGTGTGTGGCAGTTGCCCTTTCTTTGTGCTCTGGACTGCTGTCCAAGGTGTGCCTTGCTATTTTGTTTTTAACCACTGTGTAGAGGTGGAGATCTGTCTCCAATCCAGGCCTCTCAGGAGCTCAGCTGCCTGCTGGGCCAACCCTGCTTGAGTGACTCATGGGTTCCCCATGCAGCCATCTTCTGCTTCTTCCTTCACCCATTCAGTGCGTGTGTTCATGTACACACACACAAGCCTCCTTCACACATCTCCAGCCTCCTTGCACACTCAGTCTCACCTCAGACTCAGTCCTCCTCTGGCTTGGTCCTATAGACACACATTCTTCCTTTGAGGGCATTTGCCATTGGGCACTGGAGACAGTACCTAAAGCCAAAACGAATCCTATGGAACACCCGCTTATCTCAGGTTGGATCCCATTCTCCCTTGCCCCTTAGCCGTTGTTAAACCCCTCCCCCAGTTTGCTAAGGAGTCAGTGCTGCCTATAGAGGAGACAGGGCAGGCTTTACAGGAGAGCTGGGATTGGAACAGGGCTTCAAAGCTGGGGATGATAGCCATAGACTTTTTCCTCTTTTGGCACATGGCTGTCTCTTTATACCCTCAATATCAACATTACTATTAGTATGTCTTTAGCATCATTTCCAGCCTCAGTGATTTTTGGCCAACTGGAATATCTCCAGGAATATGTTTCAGGTGGGAGAAAACATGCTCCTGTTTCATTGTTCTTTTTTGCAGCTGGTAGATGACTTCTGTTCCTTTTGTCCCTGAGAAATATCTCTCAGCTGGTATCTCAGGAGCCCATCTTGAGAAGGAAGTCAGGAGCTCAAGAGGTGCTGGTTCTTCTTTGTGTATGGCCAGCTTTCCCATCCTCAAAGCTGACAACATCTTTAAGGGACACTTGGTTAAGTCAAGAGCCTCAGAACAGTGAAGGGCCGACAGACTCCAATTAAATAAGTTTACATATATACCCTGAATAAATGGGTGAAGGATTCTCACTGATATTGATGTCCTACCCAGGACACTGTTAGATTATCTTTGCATGTAATGATGATGGTGTTCATATCTGCCATTATACAATAATACTTATTTTTATAGTTGCATTTATTGTTCACATTTTCACTGTAGGAAAGTACCTCATTATTGTGCCACCTAGAGGGTGCAGGCAACAGGAAGGGAGATTAGGAAAACCAGTTTCTAAGATGGTCCCAGAGTGGCATTATGGGCTTGTTTGAGCCCAAGGATGAGAGGAGTTGCAGGGTAAAATCTTGAGTCATGGGGGCCCAGGAAGCCCAACTTCGGCCACACAGAGGGGAAGCAGGGTTCTGTCTTCCACCTTGAGCACTGCTTCTATAGAGGACCTTCTGCCTGTTTGGAGCCAGCAGAGACCAGCAGGAGGTATAAAAGGCACACCCTGGAAGTGGGGGTGAGAAGCTTCTTATAAAACCCAAGGGACCAGGGCAGGAGAAGACTCCTATGTGGACAGCATCTGTTCAGCACCACATTTGAGGTTCCCAAACCCGTGCCTGCTTCTGCAGTTTCCCTGAAATAGTTGGCACAGCTTGCCAGGCTAAGTTCATGCTAACCCCTTCTGGTCTGTCTTGGGAAACAGAAAACAGGTACTATGTCCATGGACATTTCTTGGTGAACTAACTTATTTGTGATTGATTTTAGTTTTCTTTACTTTTGGCAAATTAAAATGAATTAAAGTGAAATTAAAGTGATTTAATGTCTGGCATCTAGGAGGCTCTGAGACTTTAGGTCTAATTCTAAAAAATAAAATAGGCTCTTTGGAATTGCAGGTTGTGCACCTGGCTTCATCTTGTCTGGCTTTGCTTTCTTTTTCCTATTGTATTA